CCCCAAAACCCCAAAACCCCAAAACCCCATAATGATAAAATATTCATAAATGCTAGATACTTTCAATTTTAAAAATAATTAGAAATTTCATATATAAAATAATTAATAAGCTTCGAATAGTAATATATGGAGAAAGCAACTATTAAAAGTAAAGAAGATCTTCTGAGTAATAACAGTAAGAAAAAGTACATAAAGAAACCACTCACCCCAATTCTTAATGATGAAGACTGCAACAGTAAGTGTACAATCTTAGTATAAAACTATTAGAGTATGAACGTCTCTCAAAAGAATTGATTAAAACCTAGAAGTATTTGAAATCACTTGCCTACATTAATGAAAGTAAGGATTAATTCTTATATGGTCAATTTCATTTTAACTAATCTAAAATCAATAGTTATAAAGTACAAGAAATAATCTAGCATTGACTAAAATGAAGAGTTTCTGAATATATATGTCTATGAAATGACTAAAACATTTAATTCATATGGAATGTAGATGCTTAACACTGAAAGCTACGTCGTGAGTTTGAAAATTTTCAAGACTCTATTGAGAATTATTGCAGATATGGATAGTCTTAGAGTGAAGCTTCTAAAAGTCCTAACACTCAATAATCTCAGCTGCTGTTACAAAAAGTATAATATGATTTGAGGATAATCAATTACAGAATCGACAAAATTAAAAAAGCTCTTGATTGTCTAGAAAAAGGTCTTGTAATTTAAAGGAATATTGATATAAATGAAGATGAAACTGTTAAGATGTTATACAATGAGCAAAGTTCTTCTCTAACAGAACTTAATCTCTGCGCTATAAATTCCTAACTTAAAAAGTAAATTTTTCTTATTCACTTTTGGATAGGCATCAAACTGCTAAGGAGTATGCATTTATAGCAGTAGGAAAGATTGAACTGGAACTAGAAAATTTAAGAATGTAATAGAATCTTGCTGACCAATAAGAACAAATGAGATACTAGAATATCTACAATGAAAAAATTTCTCTTCTTGCTATTGCTAATTACAACCTTGGCTGCCAAAATGAATTTCTAAATGAATATTAGGATGCTATTATCAGATATGAAATCGCTTTAAGTTTAATTTAAAATTTACCCAATACTGCTTCACTTGAAAATGATTTCAGGCTTAGTATAAAATCAATAAAGGCGAGATTTCAAGCTTATAAGATGAAGGGACCAAATCGCACATTCACAAATTTGAATAAGTACAGGTCTGAGTTAGAACATCTTCAAATAAATAACATAGTAATTCCTGGGTCAATGGTTTCATCTTCAAAATCAAACAGTATTAATAAGAACAACAGAATAAAGAAGATTAGACCAATGAGTGCATAAGTTAAAAAGATTAGCTCGCAATAAAAGCAAAAGCTAAATTCGAATGAAAAAGAGAAAAATGAAACTTACTAACCAGAAATTATATCTCAATAAACATAAATGAACTCTAACAATATAGTAGTTTAGAGAAAGTAAAGACCAACATCTTCATATGTGCATCGAGATAAGGCAGGGCTCATCAGAACAAATCAAGTGACCTAATCACATTCAAATTTTAGGTCAACAAATGTTGATTAATTGACTTAGAATCAAGAGGATTCATTGGACAGAAATTTCTAGGGCAGTTAACTCTAATTTTCAGATCAAAAGTTCAACCCTTCTACTTAGGCATCTCAAAAATTTTTGAAAAATTCGCAGTTTTAATTGAACAACATGAATATATTAGAAGACGAACTTGATGAAGTAAAAGAAGACCCTGACTAAAATAATGAAGATTATTCTATACATCCCTTGATGATTCAAAGACGATCTGTCATCGAAAATTAAGCCAAACTTTTCAGACCAATCAGTGCAAAGACAAACGTCTCCAATGGTCAGAAGTCCAATATTCCAATGAGAAATAATAATTTCGGATATCAATCTCACACTTTATAATCAAATAATTAGAGGAGTAATGAAAGGTCAGCAGAAAAAATTTATAATTATGAAAATGAGCAATAATTAAGACAGCTTAAAAAATCCAAAATTTCTAATCAATCAACTACTGGTAAGCCGCCTCGAAGAAATTAATCTCTCAAAAGAAATTAGAAATTTATCCCTAGCTAGGAGGGCAAATCTTAAGTTGAGAGATCACCAATTAAGTTTAATAATACAAATTAAAACATCAGTTTAAAGTAATTCAGATTAAGATAGTCAGATAAATTATCAACTTCTCATTTGAATCTTAGCGGAATTGAAAGCAGCCATTAGCTTTATGAGATAATTGATAAGAGTCTCAACTAGATAGATCCTAAAGATATTGTTGAGAACACAAACACATCTTCATTAAGTCTACACAGAATAAGACCACATTTTAACTCTGATCTTAATGATCTTTATGCAAGGGAAAGCCTGATTTAACAAGAGATATTTTACTACAATAATCATGTCTTGCCAACATTTGTGGGAACATTAAATCTTAAACACTAGAGTAGACCTGACATACCGAAAGGTTCAAATCCTTATTCAAGTTCTTATTTATAAAATCAATAGTTTTCCCTTGAAAATAGAAATTATCAGCTTAAAAAAAGTTCAATTCAACAGCCATAGATACCAATTTAGATTGATTACTAATCTCAGAATCAATTAAAGTAACCTAGAAAATTTACCTAAAAGAGTATAAAGCAAGGCTAAGGTAACAAATCTTCGCAATCAATTCTCAAATAAGAAGAATCTAAGGAAAGAATCCCTTCAGTTCCTAGCTCTAACTAATCAATCAGTATAAATTATTATTTAATAAATATAGGGTCCAAACAACAATTTAACAAGCCAAAGCCTTCAAGAAATTTCATTCAAAGTCAGACTAAATCAAATTAGAAATCTAAAAGCAAAGATACTCCCTATTTTTCTGCAGGGGGTACCACAAAATATGAAAGTGGACTATCTAAATATGTATGATATTATAATCTTAATTTTAAAGAATTAACAATAATTTCATGAATATGCCATTCGAGTCTAAAAGTATCTGAAAGGATTTCTTATTAGATCTTAATTATAAAATATTTTCAAGGTAAGGACTCAACTAGATGCTTCTAAATTAATATTCAAGACATTTTATAATTCAAAGTCTTTTGGAATCTCCGATATCCTTTTAAACCGAGACCATGATAGATACTAGGTTACTATATAATCATGCTAAGATAGAACGAAATAAATCATCAGAAATATTGACCTAAGTAAATTGAAACTACAACAGTCAAGTTTCAACAACTAAAATGATTTGGATAAAAATGTTATTGCTAGATTTAAAGAGCATCTAAAGTCTCCTACAGGAGATATGCATTAGGATTTCCTACATCTTGGCATTCCTCTAAGCTTTAGAGGAAATTCCTAAGAAATAAATGATCATAAAATTGACTTGATAAGCGCAATTGGTTCTCATTTAAGCAAATCCTTTGCATAATTACAGTAAAACCATGTCTAGTCCCAGAGAAGCAATATTTCTCTCAATAGATCTCTAAAAGAATTAAACAACAGTATTAAATCCTTTCCGAACCTGCCTGATGAATCTCAAATTAGTGTGATAAAGCCTAATTATTAAGATAATACTGTGGATTAAAACAAGTCAAAAGTGGCTCTAATGTCTAAAATCGAGAAAATTATTAAGATTTAAACTATTATGCGAATATTTTTAGCAAAAAAAATACTTAAGTATAAAAAGGAGAAGGCTAAAAAAGATGATCTAATTGAAACATATAGAAAGAAATTTTACCTTGATGTCGAAAATATTAAGTTCTGCTAGATTTCCTTATATGAACACAAAGCGGCTAGAAAGCATATCATTAAAGGAAAATTCATAGACAAAGATCAGTCTAAGAGGATTATAGATCTGGATATCAACGTTAGCATCGACCGAATTTTTGATCTTCAAGAATTTAAGAAATTCATAAAAAATGAGATTATATTAAAAAAATTTAGAGGCAAATTGTCATAAGGCCTACAAAACTAGAACGACTTATAGACAGTAACATTATTTGAATTCAACATTCCTTTAATCGATAAATTCCTCAGTAAGCAAGACTAACTTAAAATTGCCTCAGATAGATTACATAAATCGCTTCATGGGAAGTTTGAACTATAAAAAAGCAATTAAGTCAACTCTTCCAACTACAGAATAGCCAATAGTTAGCTTGGGATATTTGATCATTCCAAACTAACAAATACAAAAGGTTCACCAGCAAGTAGCACTCAAGGAAACAATAATTTAGGAGTACCATTAGGTGCAAATAAAATATAAATAGACTACAGTATTGGTGATATTAGAAACGCCAAGCAGAGTTTTTAAAACATTGATGATTAGTACTCATTTAGAGGAAATGGGGAAAATTTAGGTGATATTTCATACCAGAACCTGCATAATCATTCAACCTTAATTGATAATCAAAGAGACTTAGTGGGTGAAAATTTGATGACTTATACTTAAAGTTCTAGAAGTTTCGCATAAGATTCAAGAAGAAACAGAATAAAAATGATTAAGAGAAGGTCAAAATATTCCTATGTAATAGATGGTGAAATAATCAAAAGAAATGGAGCCAAAAAGGAATCTGTATGGGATAAATTTAGAAAGGAGTAGGAGGACTACATGAATATAGATGATAATATAGAATTCGTTTTGGAGGATGCAGATTATTAAGCAAGAGTAATTCAAAAATGGTTCAGAAGGATCATGTTCAAGAGAAGAATTATTTAGAAAATTGCTAATAGAGGAAATCTAGGCATCCAAATAGAAAGAAGAAAAAAGAAAAACTATGGAAAAAGATCATCAATATTAGAAGAGATTGATGAATTACACAGCAGTCATAAGTATTATCAAAGCAGAAATTCTATGATATTGTCGTTAAAGCCAAGTCCTATTTATGAGAAAATTGTTGATATCGAAGACCAAAATCAGCCTACCTTAATAATTGCTTAATACGATGTCAAAGTTTATTAAAAAGATTCAAATACAGTAGAATTAGTTTATAGAAATTAGAGCTCTCCAAATGAATCGTAGCAGAATTATGATTTTAAGATTCCTCAAGATGATATAGAGGCATTTGAAAATGACAAAGCAGCATATTTATATTAAGTAGTTTCAGATTGTATGCAATACAATTATGATCTTAAAATTTTCAAATTGGATGAAGAATCAGTCAAGAAAATAGACAAAAATTTAAATTAGAAACTATCACATCTTTAAGGTAAGATAAGGGGTAAGATGCAAAGAAATAGAATGGATAAAATTAAGAAGAATCCATTTGAGTAAGAGTAAAAGAAAGCATAGCAAAAGCAAAAGTAAAATAATAAGGTTAATCTGATTAATAATTTAAATAAGGATCAAGCTGAGACATAAGTATCTACTAGCAAGTTTCAAATTGATGATGATTTAGTAATAAATGGGATTGAAAAACTGCAAGATCTCAATTCAAATGACTTTAAACAAAGAGCTATTGACAATGATAATTTCTAAAAGTTTATTAAGTTCAACGTTTTAGATCATAATTAGAGCAAGATATTAATAGAAGCATCTCTAAACTTTCAAAAAATGCTACTAATCTTATAGGCTCAAAATTATAATACTCTTAGTGTTTATGTAACGGATTTTATCACTAAATACTACAAAGGATCTCATGATGAGCTTAATTCCAAGGATAAAATTTAATAGTTTATTATGAGTAAATTACCCTAAGTTACTTAACTTGACTAAAACAAGAAAATAATCTTGAAAAAAAATGATAACAGCTCATTGCCACAGTAATCATTATAAGTACCTTCGAACGACTTATTTCAAAGTGTAGAGGTCATTACTTCCAGCGACTTTAATGATAGATCGCTTAATTAAGATGAACTTAAAGATCTGCTAAAGTCTACTGTCAATCAAGGAGAAAATTCTATACATTATAAATTCTAAGGATCACCAACTAAAACTCTTAATAAAAAGAATATATTGTTCAATTTTAACTTTCCTGGAATCAAATTCGAACATCATCCCGATACTAATATGAATGCTCTCCTTTTCAAAGATATAATGGATAATGTTTTCTTGAGAATTACCTATGACAAATTGCCTAAATATGCTTTTGTTGAGAGAATCAACAAGGAAAGGGTGTAAAAATTAAGTGGGACTAAAGTTGTCAATTTATAATAACTGTCTGATTCTTTGCTATAAGAGTTAAATATCAGAATAGGTCTTGTTAATGGAGGGTTAGAGTAAAATGAATTCATGGATTTAAAGTAAATAGAAAATATGATTAAGCTCTATGGATTCGATACCTCAGAAAAAGATCTTGATAAAATATAAAGCATGCAGTGTATAATTAAGAAGACTAGACTAATTTAAAATGCATTTAGGAAAAAAAATAAAAGGAAAAATCAGATTTAGCAATAGCCTGATCAAAAAGATATAACAGGCAGACAGTTGTAAGGTACTACACAATTGGATCTAAAACCCTAAATCAAATAGGACTCTAAACAAAAACTCACCCTGTCTTAGAGATAAAATAGGTATAGCAATGCTTAAGTTAGCAATATGCAATAAGATAATAATTAAATAGTTAATCTTCCAACTAAAACTGTGAATCTAAATGACTTAAAGAAAAAAATTGGGTAATTTACAATTATCAAGAGTAAGACTAATATCTCTGGCTAGTATTGCACCGCTGAACTCAAAGCTAACTACGATAATGATACCTTGATTCTAAGAGTTACACCCCAATCTAAGCCATCATTAGAATTGCTTTTACCTAATATGAACCTTTAGGCAAAAGATTTAGAAAAGCTTACCTCAGAGGGATAGGGCATACTAGATAAGATTGAAATATCTGAAGATTAGAAATCTCTAGAAATTCGAAATGGCAAGAACGACTATAGTATACTCTCTCAAGACGTGATATACAAATAGGGTCATGTCATTTAGGGTAGATTTATGCTGCTGACTGTAGCAATGGAGAATAAACACTTAATAATAGATGCCTATGAAGAAAAAACTGAAAAAAGATTGGAGATCAAAATTAAGAGATAGAAAAGATAAAGCAACTCAGATACTATAAATATCCCTAGTGAGAAAGAAATAAAGAAACTCATATCACGTCTGGATATATGCAAGATTAGCTTGGATGAGAATGATGATCTAGAAACTCTCACGCTGAAATCTAATCTCAGTTGAAATATTAACTCTTCAAATTAATGATTTTAATTATATATAATAGCTAATTTTTAATTTAATGATAAATTTTATTCATGGGGTTTTGGGGTTTTGGGGTTTTGGGG